CAAAGGATGAGATGGTTAGACAGTGTCATCGATGCAACGAACATGAAATTGAGCAAACTTCAGAGGATGGCGGAAAACAGGAGGGCCTGGCGAGATCTTGTCCATGGGGTCGCGAAGAGTCTGACTCAACTGTGCGACTGAACAACAACAACAATAATCAATATTATCTGGACGTGTTTCCTCTGTTGCAACCTGATTTCTAAGACTGAATCTTGTGTCTAAGCCGTTCGGTTAAGGAGGCTACCACTGTGTTAATTAATTGTTTGCAGCCCTGGTACAGAGCTGGTAAAGTGGGTAAGTCTCATAAAGCAAGGAGGAGTTTGGGATCTCTGCTCCTGAGCTGTGGTGCAGGACTGGTTAAAGTGAGATCCTGGTGGCAGACTACTGGTAAAGCCTGGAGAGTGTACAGACGTTCTCCTGGCGTTTGTTTAATTGTTCCTGAACGCTTGGTTTCTCTCCCATCCCTGGACTGGGGTGAGAGAGAGAAACCTTGACACTTTAAAAGGTCAGTCCTGGTCTTAAAGGCATCATATCGAGGGGTGGGAACAAAGTCGAACCCCAAGTTAAGTACACACCGCTCAATGGGCATGAGTACCCGATCAGATAAAAATTACCAAGTCTTCGAGGGTACCCGCAGGGAAAAAAATGCCTCTCGTTCTACTTCTAGTTCTTCTATCCCTAAAACCTCTTCCAGAACCACCCTCATCTCCTGATGTGGATTCCAGTTTCTTCTCCCTCCGAAGTTTCTAAGTCAGGGAAGGATTCAATTGCCGTAAAACGTCTTGGCAACAATCCGTACAATCTAAAATAAGGATGGCACCCCTCTTTAACAACAATTGTCTCATCCTCAGAGAAAGTTTTGAAGGCATTAAATTGTTCTTTAGTAAGATTGTGCCCATGCTGTGCCATGTACATAGAAAGTACTATGCGGGCAGTTAAGACCTGCATTTTGGAGCACAAATCCCACATTAAAAATAAAATTTTAGAAGCTCCAATGGTCACACACTATATTGAACAGGGACATTCAGCTGATGTTGTGTGTGTGTTTTTTTATCATTACCAAATTTAATAGACGACCTTACAATAGTGTAGACATTCATAAGAGATTGTTGCAATAGGATACTTTTTGGACATTTAAATTCCACGCGCATACAGAGGATGGCTTAAATCAAACATTAGATTTCTCATGTTTTGTGTAGTCATTAGTGTATAGCCTGTAAGTAGGACTACAGTTTTTAGCACATCTGAAAATGATTAGCACAGGCAACTACTTATGTCACTGATTAGTGGGAAGATTAAGAGCTTCCACCCACACTTCTGAGTTTGAAGCCGTTTGTTTCTCGAGTGTGGGAAGTGGTGAGATTTAATCACAAGTTTTGGAGGTATGCTTGTAGTCTTGTATTGTTTATCATGAAGTTTCAAATTAATCAACTGTTGTAGATTTTCAGGGTTGTCTGGCCGTGGTCTTGGCATTGTAGGACCTGACGTTTCGCCAGTAGCTGTGACTGGCCTCCTCAAAGTTATCCTCTACAACAGCTAATGAACTCCGATCGTGAAAGCCTTCGAGAACATATTTCAAATGAATGTTACAATTTTTGCACATGCGGTATATATTGAGTTACCAGTTCCGTATGAAAATGTTTATTCTTGACTCTGACGAGGACTGGAAACATGACCTTACCTGGGAGACACGTTAGTAAAGCTAAAGGGTTCCCTTGCTCGAAAGCCAGTCGAGTCCGACTCTAGGGTTGCGGTGCTTATCTCCATTTCAAAGCCAAAGAGCCAGCGCTGTCTGAAGACGTTTCCGTGGTCATATGGCCAGCATGACTAAACACCAAGGCGCACGGAACGCTGTTACCTTCCCACCGAAGTGGTACCAATCATCTACTTGCAATTTCTTGCTTTCGAACTGCTAGGTTGGCAGGAGCTGGAACCAGAGATGGGATATATTGAGTTACCAGTTCTGTATGAAAATGTTTATTCTTGACTCTGACGAAGACTGGATACGTGACCTTACCTGGGAGACACGTTAGTCTGGTGGAAAGTTATACAGTCTGCTGAAAGATATATGATATAACTGCTGTCATAAGGAATACTGGGTGGAAGTACGGAAGTCACAGGTCGTCTTGTTGCCAAAACCCCTCTTCCTTATGAGAACAGTAGAATTGTGTTGAGCAACTTCGTATGTATGTATTTGTATTTTCATGTGTCCTATCCTTTGACATGGTGCACATATATGTTTGGAGCTGCGGTGGCTCAAGTGGCGTCACAGGTCATCTTGTTGCCAAAACCCCTCTTCCTTACGAGAACAGTAGAATTGTGTTGAGCAACTTTGTATGTATGAATTGGACTCAGTTTTGTATTTTCATGTGTCCTGTCCTTTGACATGGTGCACATCTATGTTTAAAGCTTCATTTTATGAGATTCCATTCTATTCCGATGGGGGGGGAAATCATAGTGCACTAAACATAAAATCACACAATATATAAGATTTTGTACAAGGCTTTGTTTTCATTCCTATACAACAATTAGAAATTGTTTCTTACTCAGTGCTGCTTGTATTTTTTTATATCAGTAGCACTGTGCTCCGTTATATAATTTGGTAGCCTCCAGGTGGGGCCTGGGGATCCCCTGGAATTACAGCTCATCTCCAGACTACAGAGATCAGTTCCGCATTCCATTCTATTCCGATGGGGAAAAAATATCATATTGCACTAACCATAAAATCACGCAGTATAGAAGATTTTGTACAAGGCTTTGTTTTCATTCCTATACAACAATTAGAAATTGTTTCTTACTCAGTGCTGCTTGTATTTTTTTTATATCAGTAGCACTGTGTTCCCTTATATAATTGGGTAGCCTCCAGGTGGGGCCTGGGGATCCCCTGGAATTACAGCTCATCTCCAGACTACAGAGATCAGCTCCCCTGGAGAAAATGGGCCTTGTGCCCCACTGAGGCCCCTGTCCTCCCAGTCTCCATCCCCAAATCTGCACGGGTTTCTCAACCTGGAGCTAGTAACCCTACCCCCGCTGACTTCAGCCTCTCCTTTGAATCACCACTTGAGACAAGCCTGTGCGCATCTCTGTTTTTATTTACAGGCTGATGATGCTTTCTTGGGGGCGTCTGGGGCAAACCCTGTAAGCTTCCACACCCAAATGCTGCTTGGAATTTGAGGCTGGCTTGCCAGTAAAATTATCAGCCTTGCAAGCAGGGCTGGCCCCAGGTTTGGGGGTTTTTTTGCACACTAGGCGAGGCTACCTTCCGGCGCCCCCCTCCCATGCACCCCCCAGTTTTCAAACATAAATGCACCCGGCGGGGAGCAACGAGAGGGGCATGCGGGTGGCCGTTTAGATTTAAAATACACCCTCCTGGGGTCCAGGCGTAGGAGGGGCCGGGGAGGGGAGGGGCAGTGGGCCAGCGGGGTGCCCCCTTCCAAGGCCGCCCTCCCTAGGCAGCTGCCTAAAAATTCTCTATGACGGGCTGGCCCTGCTTGCAAGGCTCACTAAAAGGGAGGGACAGAAGCCCACCCTATTGACACTAGCGAGGATAGCAAAACTAATTTGTGCCTTTCGACTCCCCGGGTGCTGTGCCCAAGCGACCCCCTTTTTAAGGTACAGTGACCGCCTGTGGGCCTTCGGTCGGCTGATGTGCTGCAGCCCAGATGCTATCGAACCAGTCAACGTAGGGCGGGATCCGGGTGTAAATGCCGGGCTTTTTCCAGTTGCCGCAGACACGGGCGCCCGTGGCCACCACACCTTCAGCCACCCCGTTGCAAACGAGAGGTCCTCCAGAGTCCCCCTGAAAAATGAAACCAAATGAGCACGATGGAATTCTTCCAGGTGAGCTCCAAGGCTTGTGCCCCCAATCATTGCCCTACTGGGGGGGTGTATAGAAATATAGCTTCTATATCCACATGCCTTATCCTGTGATGTCTTTTGATAGCATGCTGTGTCTTATTTCCTGTTGCAAGCCACATGGTGAGGCCACATGGCCTCAATAGCCGTGCCATAAACCCACATTCTTTCACACTTTCATGCCAAAAGCCAGACCTCATGGCTACACTTTCTGGCGCACTTGCGACCAGTCACGTACACAATGAAGTAGCTGGAGTTTGGGTCAGCTGACTGCAGGCTTGGTCTCCAAACTTTCAGCCAATCCCACAAACCTGATGTTAGCAACCATGGCAACCAACAATTGGGCACACCCATGCCCACTCGCAATTGGCTGATGGTCACATCTAATTTGTGACTGGAATTGGGGTATAATTGTTTGATCCCTATGGGAGCGAGTCCTCTTCTTATTCCTGTTCTCGAGTCTCTTGCTTAGCTCTCCCTTCCTCCTCTGTCATTGTTTGTTTTATTGCACCTGAAATGCTGCCTCTTGAGAGACAAAGAGTTGCTTTGTGACTTGGAGCACATGGCTGTGCAAAAATGGGATTTCCCTTCAAACTCCCTTGGTACTTGGACTATCTTGGACTGAGGAATACTCCTGATGTGGTAACTATGAATCATTAATGTTTAGTTAAGGCAAACAGCCCTAGCCTTTGTTATTTTTGTAATCTCTGGTAGTCTATGCTAAGATCTGTACTGAATAAAGATCCTTCTTATTGCCAATTTGTCTTTGATGTTGTAACTGAATTCCAAGTCTAAGCCTGGTGCCTACTCACCATATACGCTACCATTAGAGAGCGGGGGAGGGGCCCCTCCCATACACATGAACTAAACAATGAAATACTAAGGGGGGGAGCGGAAGAAAAAGCATTGAAATCTGTTTTGAGAGACTTACCAGAGCGCGGATAAGCATATGGGCGTATTTCAGAGACTTTAGCACGTTTTCATTACCAAAGGAGAAGTTTGTTAATAGAACATTAATCCACCCACCAACATTCCACTAGAAGGTGATGCAGTTTCTGTTCATAATCAAACATGAATGTAATGTTTACAGTAGCCGGTAGATATAAACTGAGACACCAGGAGGGATAGTTGTTTAATGTAGTGAAAAGTACAAGATTCCCTCTCATCCCTGGACTGGCTTGGGTGGGCTAATCCCTGTGGGGTCAGGGCTGCTCCAGGCAGGAATCTCGTAATCGTGGCCGTATTCGTGGTCATTGCCAGGTGCCTCTTGGGAGGCTCGGAGCTGCTTTTTGCTGACCTCGCATGCTTCTTTTTAAACTGCAGCCTCGGGGATTTCAGAGTTTCCACCCTAGCTCTTGGCCAGGGCCGGCTCCAGCTTATTTTGCACCCTAGGCGAGGATCCCTTCTGCCCCCCCCCCCCCCCACGCCGCGCCCACCAATTTTCAAAAATAAATGCATTTTAGGAAGAATGAAAAACACAAATAATCAAGAAATTCCCAGAGTCATGGGCCGGGTGCAGTTTGGTGCCCCTAAGGGCAATCCCACTCTAGGCGATCGCCTAGTTCGCCTAGTGAGTGAGCCGGCCCTGCTCTTGGCAAAGGTCAGATTTCATGGTCCGCTTATCCTCCAAGCCAGGGGTAGATGAACAGCAGCACATGAAGCGGCCTTATACTGAATCAGACTGTTGGTCCATCAAGGTCAGGACTGTCTGCTCAGACTGGCAGCAGCTCTCCAGCGTCTCAGGCAGCGGGGCTCTTTCAGACCACCTTCTGATCCTTTAACATACTGGCAACTGAACCTGGGACCGTCTGCATGCCGAGCAGATGCTCTGCCGCTGAGCCACAGCCCCTCCCCTGAATGGAACAGAGGACTCCGAACAGGAATGTAGAGAGAGGCCAACCGGATAAGAGAATGTACGCATGTTTGTATTTTGAGTAAGAACAGGGGTCATTTCCTGCAGGAGCACACAGGAGCGGCGCTCCGGCAGTAAAGAGCCCAGGGGGCGGGCACATGCAACAAGCCCCACCCCTTGCTCCCAGCAGCCCTCAGTCAGAGCAAGAAGCAGCCAGGTAAGCTGCAGAGCTCCCCCCAGCCCCCCACCCAAAACAGTCCAGTGGCACCTTTAAGACCAGGTTTTATTCAGGTACAAGCTCTCCCTCCTCTGTGAGGATAGATCTGCACGTCCCCCCCCCATCGCTAGCGATCCAAAACAGTCCAGTGGAGCCTGAGCGGTGGGTGTTGCCTTCTGACACACTTCCGGTGACGTCAGGGGGTGTGGCATATGCAAATGAGCTATGCTAATGAGTTATGCTAATGAGCTCCTGCACCTCTTTTTCTACAAAATGACCCCTGAGTAAGAAATAATATTGTTAATTGGGTTTGCCTATGCCCTTTATCAAGTTTATCTCTCCCGTACCCGGCATTACATATTATGGCACACGTTGTCCGGCCCAACGAAGCAATGTTTATGTCAGATCCAGCCCTCGTACCAAATGAGTTCGACACCTCTGGACAGGGCCAGCCCAAGAGATTTCAGCATCCTCAAGAGAACTTTGCTGCCCCCCTCCATTCAATGGTGGTCTCCCATCTAAGTACTACCTAGGGCAGACCGTGCTTAGCTTCCAAGAGCTGACAAAATCGGCCTAGCCTGGGCTGTCAGAACCTGGAAACCCCATTGAACACAGTGCGCGGACTCTAATCTGGGAGAACCGGGTTTGATTCCCCACTCCTCCACTTGCACCTGCTGATGTGGCCTTGGGTCAGTCACAAGCTCTGGCACAGCTGTCCTTGAAAAAGAGCAGTTTCTGTCAGAGCTCTCTCAGCCCCACCTACCTCACAGGGTGTCTGTTGTGGGGAGGGGAAGGGAAAGGAGTTTGTAAGCCGCTCTGAGACTCCAAGTGAAGGGCGGGGTATAAATCCATTCTCTTCTCTTCTCTCTTACTTCTGAGTAGGCTTGGTACAGCCCGCATGGGGGAAATGCAGTCTCAACTTCCTCTCTGGCCTGCACCCTGGGGCTGCTGGTCTATCTCTTTTAGCACACACATACCCCAGCTCTAGTCCCCTAGGGCATGGGTCCCCAACTGTTTCGAGCCTGCAGGCACACCTGAAATTCTGACACAGCGTGGTGGGGGCAGCGTCAAAATGGCCGCCACAAAATGGCTGCCGCAGGAGGCGGAGCCAGCCACAAGACGGCGGCCACAGCTTAACTTCACCGACACAGCGTGGGTCCTTGTGCTGCGGCAGCAGCTACTGCTGCCAAAGCCACATTTGGAAAAAATCTGAACAGCCAATCAAATCTCCGAGAGACAACCAGAAGCCATGCTGGGCAAAAGCTCCGCCCACTTCCCAAAACAAGATGCCAGTGGGCATCGTGGCACCCAAGGATACCACGTCGGAGATCCCTGCCCTAGGGAATCGTCTAGGTTTGCCTAGTGGAGGGGTCAACCCTGGCTGTTGATGGACCTGTCCTCCGTGAATTCCTGTAAAGCCATCTCAGCCAGAGGTCTTCCTGCAAGCCTTAGGGCTGGGCCTCCGCGGGAAACAGGATGCCGGACTAGATGGTCTGACTCAAGCAGGGCGATTCTGGCACAGTCAGCCACGATGGCTCAATGGAGCTTCCACGTGCTTTGGCAGTCTACCTTTGGGGACCGATCGAGAGGGAATGGTTGATACTTTTCTGCCCCGATTCTGAGCTCCAGTATCCACCTAGCCCCTGGATGCCAAAACGTTTGGTCTGATCCAGCAGGGCAGTTCTTAGTTCTGTAATCCTTTATAGGACTACCAATTCCCGGGTACTGGAGATTTTCCAGAATTACACCTCGTCTCCAAACTAGAGAGATCAGTTCCCCTGGAGAAAATGGCTGCTCTGGCGGGTGAGCGCCAACGCTCCCTCTAAGCTGTGCAGTCTCGTGAGCAAAAATTCTACCTTGTGAGCTCCCGGCATTAAAGTTGTGAGCGAGCAATTTGGCGACTGCATCAATTAGTTCGCTCTGGAGCCGTCCCTTCCGGAGCATAAGACAAAAAAGTGTGAGCTGGAGGCTAAAGAACTGTGAGGTAGCTCACACTAACTCAGTTTAGAAGGAACACTGGGAGCCAGGGCTTTTTTTGTAGAAAAAGCCCAGCAGGAACTCATTAGCATAATAGGCCACACCCAATAGCAGAAATTCATTAGCATATTGGGCCACACCCCTGACAGCGCCACTCATTAGCATATTAGGCTGCACCCACATGTTACCAGAAGTGTGGTCATCCAGCCACGCCCACCTTTTGCTTCTTATTCTGTTTACCTTGTTTGTTGTCAAAACCCAGGCCTTTTTTGGTAGCAGGAACTCCTTTGCATGTTAGGCCACACACCCCTAATGTAGCCAATCCTAATGAGTTTCTGATGTTGGGTGTGGCCTATTATGCTAATAAGTTCCTGCTGGGCGTGGCCAGCTCAGGAGCCAGCCGGAACTCCGTTCCTGTGTGTTCCTGCCCAAAAATAGCTCTGCTGGGAGCGCTCTCCTCTCCCCAAATCTCCAGGAATTTACCAACGCAGAGCTGACGAACCCTATTTCACGAAGCCCCTGACAGAGCTGTCAGGGGAAAAGCCCCCCGTGTTGCCACACGGCCCGATACCTTGCACGAATCTTTCCTCTTGGATTCGGTACACATCAGTTTCTCCGTAATGCTGCCGTCGTAATGGATCCGGGTGTTGCAGACAGTGTTGCTGATGACGGACAGCTCCACGTGATGCAATTTATCCGGAAGCCTGCCGGTGTTGCTGATGAAACCCCAGCCGGCCACCTCGCACTGGGTCCCTGCCGGCACACTCCTGTCTTCCCTCTGAAAAGGCAGGATCTGCACATCTGCGCTGGGTGACACTCTCTCTTCCAGCTGGTTTGGAGAAGGGCAGAAGGGAACGCAAGAGGCAGGCAGCAATGAGATCTTACTATCGGGTTAAATGTAAAATGTCAATATCATTTGTCTTGGAAGCACCGATCCTCCACGTTTCCTGGTTAAAGGGGGAAATGCTGTTCAAGCAGATTACAAAGACGACCTGACTACAAAGGTATCAAGAGAAAGAAATCTTACTTACAAAAATAGAAGCCCATCTTACATGACGTGTTCATGTGGGGACATTTAAATTGTGAGCAGATTAACTACCTGAGGGACGGCCTGTCCCCACATGTTCCCCAGAGAGCACTGTGATCAGGGTTGCAAAATCGCTTGGCCCTCCCCGGTCCGAAGGACACCAAGCTGGTATTAACCAGGACAAGGACGTTTTCTGTGGCAGCTCCAACCTACTGGAATGAGCTCCCAGGTGAGATCAGGGCCCTGTGGGACCTTGCACAATTCCGCAGGGCCGCGAAAACGGAGCTCTTCCGGCAGGCATTTAGAGATGGAGCTACACCTTATTAGCTATGCCCTGTGCCTATTCTATTGCCAGCCTAAGCTGGCCTAGAATGGTTGCACCGTTGAACGTATGTTCCTAAATGTACTTTATTATACCTGCAACGCCTTCGATATATGAATGGTTTTTAAATGCTTATTATGTATTTGTATGGAGTTGTATATTGTTTTGTTGGTTCTTATGGAAGCCGCCCTGAGCCTGCCTTGGCGGGGAGGGTGGGGTAAAAATCAAAGTAATAAATAAATCAATAAAAAGGTTAGCTTTGCTGCAGCTCCAAGCCCAGGTGAGAGAGAGAGGAAGAGAGGTCCTACATGAGAGGGAAGACAGAAGGCAAGGAAGGGCCAACAAAGGTTCAGCATCTAACCAATGAGAGGGTTGGGGGCCAACTGCCAAGGGTACCCCAAATGAGAGAGAATTCTCTTAACCCTTTCCCTCCCGGATCCTCTGGCATGCAGAGTTACAATATCCAGGGGTCATTTCCTGCAGGAGCATACAGGAGCGGACCTCCGGCAGTAAAGAGCCCAGGGGGCGGGCACATGCAACAAACACCACCCCCTGCTCCCAGCAGCCCTCAGTCAGAGCAGGAAGCAGCCAGGTAAGTTGCGGAGCCCCCATTCCCGGGGCCCCCAGTCCAAAACAGTCCAGTGGCACCTTTAAGACCAAGTTTTATTCAGGTACAAGCTCTCCCTCCTCTGCAAGGACAGATCTGCACGTTCCACCACCACCACCACCAATAGGTCGCAATCCAAAACAGTCCAGTGGAGCCTGAGCGGTGGGTGTTGCTTTCTGACACGCTTCCGGTGATGTCAGGGGGTGTGGAATATGCAAATAAGTTATGCTACTGAGTTATGGTAATGAGTTCCTGCACCTCTTTAACCAAATACCCCAATAGGAATAGCAGTGCATTGCTGTTTATCTGTTTATACTAGCTAGGATAACACTTGCCGAAGTTGGGAAATCTGAGTTCCAAACTCAGAAATGTGAATGGTTTATTAGGTCAAAGGAGACCAACGTATTGTTAAACAGAAAAGAGGGTGGGGAGCAATGCGGAAATTAGTGCTTAATAGAATGGAAAGCTTTGATCAGACAACTTAAATCTTTCATAATATATATGTGCTCTGGAACCAGGGGATTTAACTCGATAAGAAGCTTTGCTTGACTATGCAAAAAAACCCTCCAAAAAACACCATGGAAATTAGTGTTTAATAGAATGGAGAGCTTTGATAAGATGACTTAAGGTCTTTAATAGTATATTCGGGCTATGAAATCAGGTGATTTAACTCGGTAAGGAGTTTTGCATTATTATTCGTAAGTATGTTCATTTAAGTTGTCGCTCACAGCCTGAAAGATGGCCCCAGTTTGCTGCAGTGGTTAGCAGCGTGGACTCTAATCTGGGAGAACCTTCACATGCAGCTGCTGGTGTGACCCTGGGTCAGTCACAAGTTCTCTCAGAGCTGTTCTCTCAAGGGCAATTCTCTCGCAAGCTCTCTCGGCCCCACCTACCTCACAGGGTGTCTGTTGTGGGGAGGGGATGGGAAAGGAGATTGCAAGCCACTCTGAGACTCCTTTGGGTAGTGAAGGGCGGGGCATAAATCCAATTCTTCTTCTCCCCCCCCCTTGACACAGTGGATCTGGCCACCTGGATCCATGCCATGGTAACATTCAAGACTGGACTGCTCTAATGCACTGTACATTGGTCTCCCCTCAAAATCAATTCGGAAACTCCAACTGATGCAGAATGCC